TAAAGTTCAGTTATTAATATGGTACTCTCCAGAAAAAGTGTAGGCGACAAGCAGAGACAGCATGAAAGCTGCTGTAGTTTGAAGTGGAAAAGAGGAAAGAAGAAAATAATAAGAATAATCCAGTGAATTGGTGAGTTTAAAAGTGCCGGTCGACAATTTGCATGTTTCCTCCTGCAGAAGTTGTAGTCGTCTCATTTACCTCTTGGCAACAATTCAATATGTTTAGAAAAATGTCAAATATCAAAGCACTTCTTTTTTGTTAAATCCATTTCTAGGAAAATGCTATAAATAAGTCCATGCACAAAAAAAAATAATTGCATTGTTTTAAGAGTGTTGAAGTTAGCAACACACGGGGTAATCACTGATAAGCTTGTGTACACTTCTAGAATATGTGATGCTGTTGTAGCGTGCAGCTGCAGAGTCTCCGTGCATCAGTTTTTGACAAGTTAATAATATAACACACCTCTAAATCACATTTGCTTTGTATAATACCAGGGACACCGTGTACATTTGGCTCTGCATAAATACTATTTACATTATTCGCACATTTATTGGCAAAGTTTAAGCTAGCATGCAATCATATTTCTAGCAGCGGTCTGTTTAAAATACACATTTGCTAGCAATGTCAGTGTTACTTTAATATACATACATATACGTCTTTTGATTATCTGTGAAACTGTTGTTTAAGACAATTCATAACATGTCTTGGAAACACTTGGTTTCACAGTAAATAATGTTAAAATTATGACAGTGTCCACGGGCTAATTCCATCATTACCTTTTTTCTTTTTCTGCTTTAGCAATCTCCTCTTTACTTACTCTTTTATTAAACCGGTATCATCGTAATTAATTATACCAGTAAGACAGACTGTCGGGCACCTTTAACCATTAAATCTGGTTCTCCTGTTCTGATTCTTGAAGCTTAGAAGGACTTAATGAGCTTTATCCAGATGTCAGATCCTAAATATTACACATACTGGTGAATTGAAATGGTTGTGATAGAAATATTATTCTGTCAAACACTGTCATTATCTGCACTGACAAATCAGAGTATTTAAATTGCACATCATATCGCTAGAGTAGGCAAAAACCCTATTATGTTATATACAGTATATGCCTGCATACAAATTTACTATTTTCTATGCAACATGGGAAAAATTATAAATGAAAATGGATTCTGTGGCCTCATTTTCTGCACACACTGCCCCCTCTGGCCTTCCATCATTACCAGTTGTATCAGTATTATTTATAGGCAAATTTACAACCTAGGAACTGTTCATTCTTTTACTTGAAGTACACTCTCTTCTGTTTCTGCACTGCAGAGACTGTGGACCATATTTAGCTCCTTTTGTCAGGGTAAGTCCCAGCACAAAGGAACCTTTGAGTGACCCAAATGTACGGGCGCTTCAGCACATCTGTCTCATCAGTCTGTGAATGACCTTGAAATGCACAGTGTAAAACAGAATTGGACCACGGTTAGGTAAATATCTTAGATGTTTTTTTGTGTTTTAATATCTGGTATGTACGAAACTCTAGAAAGAACAAAACATCAGTTTGACACCACGTCCTTCACCAAATG